TTTTTTTTTTAAATAAATTTTTATTAATTTTCCAAACACAAAATAAAAAGACAAACAATACACAATACACCGACATACAAACATATAAACATGTATAATTTCATAACCATTTTTTCATAAACCTTACTTTCCGGACTTCCCCATACCTCCCCTTTTCTGCATCCTTGTTTTATATTTTTTCAGCAACTCCTCAGTCGACTAATTATTCAATTCATTTTCTTTTAAATTCTTCTAATATTGTTAATTACAGCTGCAATTCTCTGTTTCCCTACCCCTTGACATTTTAACATTCCTGAATTTTACAACAAGTTCTAAGATAAACTTTGAATTTCTTCCAATCTTCTTCCACTGTCTCTTTCCCCTGGTCACGGATTCTGCCAGTCAACTCCGCCAGTCCCATGTAGTCGATCACCTTCGTCTGCCATTCTTCCAGTGTGGGTAGTTGTTGTGTCTTCCAATACTTTGCTAGAAGAATCCTTGCTGCTGTGGTCGCATACATAAAAAACGTCCTGTCCTTCCTTCTCACCAATTGGCCGACAATGCCCAGGAGAAAAGCCTCAGGTTTTTTAGGGAAGGTCCATTTAAGAACCTTCTTAATTTCATTATAGATCATTTCCCAAAAAGCTTTTATCCTCGGGCAGGTCCACCAAAGGTGATAAAAAGTACCTTCAGTCTCATTACATTTCCAACATTTGTTATTGGGCAGATGATAAATTTTTGCAAGCTTGACTGGGGTCATGTACCACCTGTACATCATTTTCATAATGTTTTCTCTTAAGGCATTACATGCCGTAAATTTAGTACCTGTGGTCCAGAGCTGTTCCCAGTCAGCAAACATAATGTTATGACCAATGTCTTGTGCCCATTTTATCATAGCTGATTTCACCGTTTCATCCTGTGTGTTCCATTTCAACAGCAGATTATACATTCTCGACAGATTCTTAGTATTGGGTTCTAACAGTTCTGTTTCTAATTTTGACCTCTCCATCTGGAAACCTATTTTCCTGTCCTGTTTAAATGTCTCGTTTATCTGAAGGTAGTGCAACCAATCTCGCACTTTGGACTTTAATTTCTCATAACTCTGTAATTTAACTTTTTCCCCATCTTGTTCTAAAATTTCACAATATTTTGGCCATTTAGACTCCATATTAAGTTTTTCACCTCTTTAGCTTCCATTGGTGACAACCACCTGGGAGTTTTACTTTCCAGTAAATCTTTATACCGCATCCAAACATTATATAATGCTTTCCTAACAATATGGTTTTTGAAACCTTTATGCAGTTTTACCTTATCATACCATATATATGCATGCCAGCCAAATCTATTGTCAAACCCTTCTAGATCCAAAATGTCTGTATTCTCAAGAAGTAGCCAATGTTTCAACCAGCAGAAAGCCGCCGATTCATAGTAGAGTCTTAAGTCCGGCAGGGCAAACCCCCTCTATCTTTTGCATCAGTTAGAATCTTAAATTTTATTCTGGGCTTTTTGCCCTGCCAGACAAATTTAGATATATCTTTCTGCCACTTCTTGAAACAGTCCATCTTGTCCAAAATCTGCAATGTCTGGAATAAAAACAACATTCTAGGCAATACATTCATCTTGATAACAGCAATTCGACCTAACAAAGAAAGTTTCAACCTTGACCATATTTCTAGATCTTTCTTTACCTCTGTCCAACATTTGTCATAATTGTCCTTAAATAAATTGACATTCTTAGATGTTAAGTTTACCCCCAGATACTTTACTTTTTTCGTTATCACTAAACCTGTTTCATTCTGAAACTTCTCTTTTTCAGCCAATGTTAAATTTTTGTCCAACACTTTCGTTTTCTGTTTGTTCAGTTTAAATCCTGCTACTTGACCAAATATCTCAATTAGTTCTAATACTCTTTTAGTACTAGTATCTGGCTGTTGCAAGGTCAGTACTAGATCATCTGCAAATGCCCTTAGCTTGTAATGTCTAGCTCCGACTTGTACTCCTTTAACCAACTGGTCTCCTCTAATCATGTTTAACAAAACCTCCAGGACTAATATAAAAAGTAAAGGGGATATTGGGCACCCCTGTCGTGTACCTTTTTCTATAGATATTTCTTCCGTGACCACATTGTTTACAATTAACTTTGCTTTTTGTTTAGAATATATTGCACCTATACCGTTTTCAAACCCTTGACCTACCCCCATCCCTTGGAGATTCTTCTTCATAAAGCTCCAACCAATATTATCAAAGGCTTTCTCCGCGTCCACAAAAATTAAAACAGCCTTCCTATTGATGTCCACTTCTAACAGTTCCAAAATGTCTATAATGTTCCTCACATTGTCCGACATATGTCTCCCTGGAAGAAAGCCAGTTTGGTCCTTATGAATCTCCCCTACCAACACTCTCTTCAGTCTTTTTGCCATAATGTCTGCAAAAATTTTGTAATCCACATTGAGTAATGATATAGGGCGGTAGTTTTTAACCTGGTTCTTTTCAGTTTCAGTTTTCGGTATAAGTGAAATAAAGGCTTCTTTCCACGACTCTGGTGCCTTTTTCCCCTCCAAAATTTCATTGCATACTTCCTTCAGTGGTTGTACTAGCCATTCCTTCAACGCTTTATAATATCTGGCGGTCAAACCATCTGGTCCTGGAGATTTTCCCAATTGCATCTTCTGAATGGCACCCTCTATTTCTTGTCCTGTTATTTTCTCATTCAAAATCCTTCTGCTTTGCTCTGAAATTTTTGGTAATCCATGTTTCTTAACAAATTCTTCTATTTCCTGTTCGTTGACTGGCCCTTGTGCATATAATTTCCTGAAGTAACTTTGAAAACAATTACTTATCTCGTTTGGTTTGTGGATAATTTTTCCATCCACTTCTAAACTTGTCACAGTGTTCAGTTTTTGCCTCTTTTTCAATTGCCATGACAGAAATTTCCCACATTTATCTGCTGATTCAAATGTCTTTTGTCTCATTTGCTTTATTTTCCATTCTATCTCTTGATTCATCAATTCCATATATTGCACCTGATAGTGCTTTATTTCTCTCAGAATCTCATGGGACTTTGGTTTAGACCTCAATTTCTTTTCACCTTCTTTTATTTTTTCCAGAATTTTTTCTTTCCTTTCATTTTGATTTTTCCTCTTTATGGAGTTCTGTTGTATTAGAAAACCTCGCATCACGGCCTTACTTGCGTCCCAGATTATTCTTTTTCCACTTCTGTTCTCAAATTTATCTCAAAGTAATCTTTCAGTGTTTTTTGGGCCTTCTTATAAATCTCTTCATCTCTAAATAGGGTGTCATTCATTCTCCATCTAAAGGATCCAGTTGATGCTAGTTTCATCTCCATCTTTACAGCATTATGGTCGGAGCAAGTCTTTGAGCAGATTTCTACCTTTTTGATCCTTGGCGCCATACTGCTAGTTACCCAAATTTGGTCAATTCTTGTCCATGTCATTTTTGCTTCAGAGAAAAAGTTCCCTCTCTCTCAAGAGGGTTCCTTGTTCTCCAAATGTCAATCAAGTCCATAGTTTCAGTCATTTCAAAAAAGTCTTTGGTAGTCTCCCTTCCTTGGAAATTACTTGTCTTTGTGCTTTGTCCATATTTGTGGAAACTACACCATTCATGTCTCCCATCATTACTACTCTATAGTCTAAATAGTCCATTAAAGTCTCATGCAGCTTCTTAAAGAATTCCGCCTTCCCGTCATTTGGTGCATAAATTCCGACTATCAAGATTTTTCTCCTTGAACTTGTATTTCAATTGCCAGGTATCTTCCTTGTTCATCTTTAAATATCATCTTTGGGGCCAATTTTTCTTTTGCATAGATCACCACGCCTCTTTTCTTAACTTTGTCTGATGAAATAAATTCCTGTCCAAGTCTCTTGTTTACCAATAATTTCCTATGTGTCCTGGTCACATGGGTCTCTTGTAGACATATTAGGTCTAATTGTTCTCTTTTCAAAATATGAAAAACTTGACGTCTTTTTCGGGGAAGGTTCAAACCATTACAATTCCAACTAAGAAGCTGCAGAGACATTTTGTTATTTAGGTACCTGTTCCACCGACTGCTCCTAACTTTTGTTCATCTACAGATGGTGGTATGAGTCCAAATGACAAGTTTGCAATGTCTGTCACTCCTTTTTCTTGTATTGTTGTTTCTACTGTTCCTTTCTGCAAGTCCTCCTGATATCTCTCCAAAAACTGTTCTTTATCTTGAACTGTTCTTATTTTGACCTTCCTTCCTTTGAAAGTAAAAGACAATCCTTGTGGAAACTCCCACCTGAAGGGTATGATATTTTTCTTCAGCAGGTAGACCAAATCTTTATAGAAGGCTCTCACCTCCAAAATATATTTAGGGATATCTTTAAAAATTTGTACTTGACTATTTTCAATCTCCAATGCCTTTTGGTAATGCAAGTTCAATATTTTATCTCTTTCTCCTTTGGATCTCAATGTGATCAAACAATCCCTTGGCTTCTTACCTTGCCTCCTGCCCAGCCGAAAAGCTGTTGTTATTTCAAGATCTTCTTCCTGCAGCTCCTTTTGCCAAAATTCCATAAAGTTCTGTGTAAGGAAGTCCACAAGGCTATCTCCCTCACTCTCGGGAACCAATCTCAATTTCAGATTTCTCTCTTTTCTCTGTAATTCCAGCAAAGATAGGGCTGCATCATGTTCATTCACTTTTTTTGTAATCGGCACAAGCTCCTCCCTTGTCTCCTCTGCAGTATTTTTGCACTTTCAGCAATCTTTCGTGTTTCAGAACTTTCTTGAATTAATTTATTAATAGATTCTGTATTAGATGTTACACTTGCAGTATTCAAGTCCAATCTTGCTGTCAGTTCTGTCAATTTTTTGAATTTTCCGTAGATAGCTTTGTCAGTGCTTCTAAAGATTGGTTTATTTTGAGCAGTGCCTGTGTCATTGAATCCATAGATGCTGTTGCCACTTTTTCCTGTGCAGCTGGTGGTATGCCAGATATTGAGCCCCTTTTCTTTTGTGTCTGTTTTGCTTTGGATCTAGTTGTTATCTCTTCTGCTGGACCACTCATATCCTCAAGGTCGTTCTCACAGGAAAGACTTGCAAGTGGAAAATCCCACTGTTTCTTTTTCACTATAACAGTTTCTCTTTATACCCTCTAGAGGGAGCATTTAATTGTAT